GAGCCACCCATCCTGCGACTCTGTCTCCTGAGGTTTGTGGGTTTGGGAAGCCGCAGTGAGAAAACCCACCTAAAATCCACCTGTTTGCCCCGGGGCTCAGGAGGAAACGAGCTCTGCAAGCCTGCAACCCAAACAGGTATAAAACACACCTGAATATTAAAAACACTTAATGTGAACAGTTCAGTCAGAGTGCACGCGTCTAAATGTGACTTCATAAAGACCAAACTGAGAAATGACGGAAAACTGTCAAATATTAATATCTACCCTGGAAATTACTCTCAGCAATCAAACCAAACTTTATCTGTAAAAATTACCTGAGTTGTACCTTTTTGTGTTTTAGACGGTTGATGAGATAAGGTAGGAGGATAATCAGGTTGTCTTTAAAAGTTAATGTTAGTTCGACAATATAGTTCAGTAGTCGTTTCTTCCAGGATCAGAGTGGGGGTACACATCGGTCTACATCAATATATTAATAAAATAATTAATGATTCAATTAAATCAAGGTCAAACAAAAACATTGATCTATATCCTCATCATCATATTCCTGATGTTGATTGAAAAGTATCCGTCTAACACAATGATTGTGTTAGACGTACACATAATATCACATCATTGATCGTAGACTTGTGAACTGAACTGAAAACGTATCAAGACAAACTTTCTGATTTACACCCCTAGATCAGATACTTTCAGGACCAACCAAAACTATGTGTGACCCATCACTTCCAAATGAGGATTAAGTCAAATTTTTATAAAAATGACCTCATCATATTTTCAGATTCCTGCTTTAAAAGCTACATTTTGATACTTAGATCATCCTGATATCATTAGTAGATACAGAGATATTAATTTGTCTTGTGGGTTACAATAATACACAAATATTTAGTCTAAATCCTAATTTTATGTAATTTTAATGAGGATTTTTTTTATGTCATTTGAAAAAAGAAACCTCAAATAGTAATTGAATATTGAGATTTTACCATCTGGAAAAAACAAAAGCTTTGACAGCTCGCAGGAAAAATCTCAACATTTTAAAGTGTTTTTCCTCAAAATCGGGTTTTTGGTTACTACTGCTCAAAAAAGTGCTTCAAAAATGTTTTTAGGATAATATTTCAGACAGTTCTTTGAAATAATAAATTGATAACACATTTCTTTGTTATCCATCCATCCATCCATCCATCCATCCATCTATTTTCTTCCACCTATCCGGGGTCGGGTCGCGGGGGCAGCAGCTTCAGAAGGGAGGCCCAGACCTCCCTCTCCCCAGCCACTTCTTCCAGCTCCTCCGGGGGAACTCCAAGGTGTTCCCAGGCCAGCCGAGAGACATAGTCCCTCCAGCGTGTCCTGGGTCTTCCTCGGGGCCTCCTCCCGGTGGGACGTGCCCAGAACACCTCACCAGGGAGGCGTCCAGGAGGCATCCTTACCAGATGCCCGAGCCACCTCAACTGGCTCCTCTCGACGTGGAGGAGCAGCGGCTCTACTCTGAGTCCCTCCCTGATGACTGAGCTTCTCACCCTATCTCTAAGGGAGAGCCCAGCCACCCTGCGGAGGAAACCCATTTCGGCCGCTTGTATCCGGGACCTCGTTCTTTCGGTMATGACCCAAAGCTCATGACCATAGATGAGGGTAGGAACGTAGATCGACCGGTAAATCGAGAGCTTCGCTTTCTGACTCAGCTCTCTCTTCACCACGACGGACCGGTACAGCACCCGCTTTACAGCAGACGCTGCGCCAATCCGCCTGTCGATCTCCCGCTCCCTTCTTCCCCCATTCGTGAACAAGATCCCCAGATACTTAAACTCCTCCACTTGAGGCAGGACGACCCCCCTGACCCGGAGAAGGCACTCTGCCCTTTTCCAGCTCAAGACCATGGCCTCGGATTTGGAGGCACTGAGCCTCATCCCGGCCGCTTCACACTCGGCCGCGAACCGCTCCAGCGAGAGCTGCAGATCTCGTTCCGATGAAGCCAACAGGACCACATCATCCACAAAAAGCAGAGATGCGATCCTAAGACCACCAAAACGGATCCCCTCAACACCTCGGCTGCGCCTAGAAATTCTGTCCATGAAAGTAATGAACAGAATCGGTGACAAAGGGCAGCCTTGGCGGAGTCCAACTCTCACCGGAAACGAGCCCGACTTACTGCCGGCAATGTGGACCAGACTCTGACACCGGTCGTACAAGGACCTGACAGCCCGTATCAAATGGCCCGGTACCCCATACTCCCGGAGAACCCCCCACAAGGCCCCCCTTGGGACACGGTCGAACGCCTTCTCCAAGTCCACAAAACACATGTAGACAGGTTGGGCGAACTCCAATGCACCCTCCAGGACCCTGCTGAGGGTGTAGAGCTGGTCCAGTGTTCCACGACCAGGACCAAAACCACACTGCTCTTCCTGAATCCGAGGTTCGACTATCCGACGGACCCTCCTCTCCTCTTTGTTATATTTTGACAAAATGTAAATTTTTCAAGCATTTGCCGAGCGTTTCTGCCTAACTGAAAATAAGGATGGAGGACCTCAGTTTAGCTTGTTTGTCGCATTAACTCTGAGCTAATACATATAAGGCAATATAGCGTCGGCGCTAGCGCAAAGGCTAACAGGTTAATCTGAGGTTGTTCTTCCATGAAGCAGCTCTGTTGTCCTCCATCCATATTTTCAGTTCCAGGCTGAGTCATTTCTACCTTCTCCTCTCTGTCAACGCTCTCTGGTTTCATTTAAAAGAGTCGATCATCAGATATTGTCCAAGATTAACCTTCAGGGTGGATATAGCTCGCTAGCAGCCTCGCACCGAAGACCTATCCACGTCATCATTTACCCAGAATGCTTTGTGTGGAAATAAAATGGCTGTCGATGTTAAAATATATTTTTAAAATTTACAAAACTAAACATCCTACAGTATTTTTACAGTCTTTATTTTACAGTTAAAATAAATGTTTATCAAATAAAGTCTAATGTTACAGCTAATCATGGATCCTTTAAAAAGCTTCTCGGTGGACGAGCACCAGATGTGGATGAGAKTCTCCTGAAGATGCTGAAGGTTCTTCAGGTTCCGGGTCACAACGTCTCACGGAGGACTTTCTGTGGGACCTGGAGGAGAGGCTCCGACCAGTTTCAGATATTTTGCTAACAAACCTGCGGACATGTTGCATCCTCATTAAATATTTAGATGTAATTCCACTGATGGCAGTCGTGCAGGTGAAAGTGTAAAAACAATATGATCCAAAGCTTTTTGTATTTTTGGACGTTGCAGGTAAACATCTTCTGCCTGTGCTCACCTGTGGACGGAGCTGGTTCAGCCCCTCACACCTTGAGGAGCCTGTTTGCTCAAACCGGGTTGGATCTTGTCAACAGGCACAGGAACCTCCTCCCATCCTGTCCTCACCTCAGCCCGCTTCATCCCGCTCAGGCTCCTCTTCCCTCCCGGAGCAGCGCCGTGATTAATGGGCTCGTGGAGCTACCTGGATTAGGACAACAGGTTATTTCCATTACTGCTGGATTCTCTGTAATAAGGGGATCAGGTGTAATGGCAGAGCGCAGGGGGCCAGCTGTCTTGTCCCAGCTGAAGTACAACAACAACAACAACACAACCTCCAACAGGGAGAAAATAATTCACACGTGTTTGATCCGACACGCCAAGTTTGACACTCACCTGTCAGAACATTTGTTTCTGACAGGTTTTTCTCAATGAAATGTTGTTTTGTAATTTTTGTTTTAGAGAAATGCGCCACACACAGACACCTGCGTAGGCGAGCAGCTGAAAACGTGTTGGTGTTTGCCTCCTCACGTTGTTTTTACAGATAAAATCAGCAACACTTAGAAACRTGTTTAAATGTGTTGAACCCATTCTAGGAGGTGAACTTTGTCCAAATTCACTGATTTATTTAAGCTTTTCTAAAACTCATGGTGAATAATTTTACAGGGCAAAAATTTTCCCACAGTTACGGTAATTTATTTTGGTACAACTGCAACTTTTTCACAGCTAATTATTATTTTATTTCACAGCTTTTTTTCACAGTTTAGGCTATGCAACTTTTTTAATGCAGTGTAACTTTTCTAGCTTTTACTGTAAACGATTTTACATGGTGTAGCTTTTTTAAATAGTTTATAGTAATTAGTTTTACGCAGTGAAGCTTTGTAAATATTCAGAGTAACTTTACACGACACAGCTGTCCTACAGCAGTTGTTTTAGGTGACCCAGGTTATCAACAATTATAAGTTTTATGTGGCGCAAATTTTCTCACATTTATGATTTTAGGCGGTCCGTTTTTTTTTACAACTTGTAATAAATTTTGTGGAGCACAGCTTTTCTATAATTTATGGTAGTGGCACAGCTTTTTTCGCATTTACGGTTATTTTCTATTTTTTATTGACAAGATTTTTCTTGCATTCACGGTAGTTTGTTTGTWGTGACAACTTTTCTTGCATTTATGTTAATTTATTTTAAGCAGCCCAGCTTTTTAACGTTTATGATAATTTATTTTTAGTGTCAGCATTTTTTGCATTTACGGTACTTTATTTTTAGTGTCACAGTTTTTCTGACATTTAAGGTAGTTTATTTTAAGTGTCACCATTTTTCTCGCATTTAGTTTAATTTTGGTAGTTTTTATGGTAGTTTATTTTTAATGTCACWGTTTGTCCTTGCATTTACAGTAGTTAATTTTTTTGTGTCACCTTTTTTTGCATTTATTGTATGTTTTTTTTCCTCTCACATCTACAATAATGTTTTTTAGGCTGGTACAGCTTTTCTATATTTATGGTCATTTATTCTTGGGTACAGCTTATTTACATTTACAGTAGTTTGTTTTTAAGTGCTTACAATAATTCCCACATCAGGCTTGTGGTTTCCCTCTACTTCTCTGAACAGGTACAGCTCTGAAACAACACAAGTGAAGAAAAACAGCACASTTGTCACCAGAAAAGAAAAATATAAATTTTATATTTGTATTTAGGCAGTTTTTTTCCCCCTCGATGCTCATTGAAGCTCATGTTTGTTGACAGGAGGCTCTCCGTGTGGTTTTGATCCTGCTGGCTGGATGTTGCATCACTTCACCTCGGAGGAGACCTCAGAGCGTCGCTCAGCGATCAGCCGACAGAGACGAGCTCACACAGGTTTACAAAGCTCCACTTCAAACGAAAACTTAATCAAGACCTGAATAAAACCAATGTTAGTCGTAAAATCCTAAAGAGATTTGCTTTCCTTAAACTGTTATAATTGTGTCTCTCTGTTAGGAAAATATTTGACTAACCACTGGATTTATTTTAATTAATCACTGGATTCACATTTACAACTCATTAATCTTTAGTTAATGAGCCAAAAAAAGACAAAGATGTTCTGTGAAGCTTGTCGATGAAGTCAACACGCCTGAAAACATTTTTCTATTTAAAATGAGTTGAAAGTGATTAAAATAATTAAGGCAAATTGTCAGAGAGCAGCTGAGAAGGAGCTGCTGTCGAACAGGCCTGAAAACAACAAGAGTTTCATTAGGAAGTGTCAGGTGAGTGACAGCTGCTTGGCTCCAGCTGGGCCCAGAACGACTCACTGCTGTCTTCAGGACAGGAAGCTGCTCCTGAGCCGACAAAATAAAAGACCCATCATTCCTGTCAGGGTCGGCTGCCTGTCTGTTTATTATTTATTAATTATTAAACAATTAATCATTACAGGTAAACTCAGGATCAGAAAATAAACTTCAGCTTGTTTGAGATGAAGCAGCTAAAACATCAACAGACACAAAGGAGGACTAACCGAGCTGAAAAAGCCAAAGCTAAAAACGCAAAAAGGCTAACTGGAAGCTGAAATTATCAAAAAGTTTCAAAAAGGCCTAAAATAGAAATAGCAAAATGCTAGCTGAAGTTAGCAAACTGTTGTCTACTGGTAAGAAAATGCTGGTTAAAAGTAACAAAAGATAGCCAGAAGATAAAAGTAGCAAAAGGCTAAAAGCTACAAGTTGCAAGAATAAAAAGGTTCCCTAAAAATGTGGCAAAAGGRTTWAAAAAAGCCATCAAAATACTAGCTATAAGCTAAAAAATACAAATGAAAGTAGCAGAAGGCTAAAGTCTAAGCAAAAACTAAAAACCTTAAAAAAGTAACTAAAGTAAAACAACAAAACTCAAAGTAAAAGAATCAAATGTGACCTAAACGTGCTTTTAAAAAGGCTGGAAGCTAAAAGTAACAAAACATTAACTGAAATTAGCATAAAGCTATTGATTAGTAAGAAAACCCGACTAAAAGTATTGAAAGGGCCAGAACTAAATGTAGCTAAAGGGTAGCTAAAAGCTAAAACTAAGAAAGCAATAAAGGTAAAAGCTAAAAGTAGCATCAAAGTATCAAAGGTGAGCTAAAAGCAAAAATAAGTTAATTTAAAGCTAAAGTAATAAAAATGCAAATTTAAAGTAGCCTTCCAAAATGTGAGTTAAAAGATAATAAAAAACTATCTAGAAGCTAAAACTATCTGAATATTTTCTAAAACTAAACGTACCTAAAAGTAGCAAAATAGCTAATAGCCAAAAGTAGCATAAACCTATAAGCTACACATAACAAAATGTAATGAAAAGTAGCTAAACGCTAGCTAAAATAGATAAATAGCAAAAATGAGATAAAAGCATCAAAAGATAAGCTAAAAATGACTTTAAAACTCTAGCTAGAAGCTAAAATGTTAGCTAAAAAAGGTTTGTGGCAGCAGAAACCTCAGAGGACAGGCAGGCGTGTTTTCTGTCAGATTTTTAYTTTTGTTCGAGTTCTCAGCTGGTTTAGCTGCTGACGCTAACAAACACTGAGGGGAAGGAGAAATTTAAATAAACACAATAAATAAAAACTTGTGTAACTATGTTTGTGTCGATCGCACAAAAACATTAAGCTTTTAGTTTTTGTCCTTTAAAGACTCAAAATGAAACTTTAATCTTGTAATATTCTGTGTAACACAAACCTTAAATCAAGCTAACCTCAGAGTTTGTGTTGAGGACGACTCTCAGCTACTACCACACCAAACTTCAGCTCTGTTTCTGTAAAACTGACAGGTTTGTGGTCATTTTGTGTTTCAGTCATCTTGGCCGCAGACGTCAGTGAGTTCCTCCTGAGGTCTTCAGTAAAAAGTGATATTTTGCTATCAGAACAAACAGGTAAAAACTGGTTTAAATTAGAAGCTCAGGTTGTTTTATGACGTGATGAGGAGGAGAAAGTCGTAAAAACGCTCATTTTAGCTGGAACTACATCAGAACCAGAACCCCAGCAGGTTCTGGAGGGACCGGCAGGTAAACGTGGGGGGGTGGGGGGGTAAGCTGAGCCTGCAGCTCCTCCTCCTCCTCCTCCTCCTCCTCTCTTCCCTCACCTCCAGTCTATTTGTTCTAATTCCAAGGACCGGCTGGGTCTTGTCTGGATTTGGAGAGTGCTCCGTTTCAAAGGGTAATTGACACCTTTACCTGTAATTTCATGGTTTCACTCCACCTGCCTTTGATGTCTGAGTCCTGGTCGGGAAACGGCGGGAACAGATGATGTCGCTGCGCKTTTTGTTTTTCTCAACATGAAGAGTTTGACGTGATAAAAAATACTTTTTTAAATGAAACCACTCTCAGATTAATCCGGTGTGGGCTGCACGTCGCCTGTTCAGTTTCTTAAATCTCACCTGATTAAAGACAACCAAGAGTTAAAACTATTTAAACCAGCTCATAAAATATCACCTGTGTTAACTGAGGCTCCGCCCACAACCGTGTTTAAAAATAACAAATTACACCAATAAAACCAAAGTGAAAGAGCCTGAGGAAGAGGAGGAGGATGATGATGATGAAGACTGGATCAGAACCAAAGGGGTCTAAAACCTGTAAATACTTTCAGAGTTGTAAAGTAACTAAGTACAAATACGTTGTTACTGTACTTAAGTAGAATCTTTGGGTATCTGTACTTTACTTGAGTAAAAAATTTTCAGCGTMCTTTTTACTTCTTACGTTTTTAAAAAACAGGAAGTATAAAGTCGTTACTTTTATTTCATTTTTGCTTGACTTTAACTTTTACCAAAGTCATTTCTTGGTAAGATACTTGTACTTTTACTCAAGTATCACTTTGTGGTACTTTATACAACACCGGATACTTTCCTGCTTTGGAGGCACTAATGCACCCCCATACCATCAGAGAGGTAGGCTTTTAAACTGTGTGCTGCTTCAGATTTAGATCTGTCTGACAGAACGGTTCTCCTCTTTGTCTCGGTCCATTTRAAGAACCTTTACTGGTGGTTCTGGATGCTCTTCTTTGTGTGATAGAGCTTTAAGCAGCATTGCTGGGTGGTACAGAGGATGTGTGGACCTGTTCCTGAGTCCAGAACTGAACCAGAACCTGCGTTTAATGCATCACGACCATCTAATACTGACTTTTAGCCTTTGAGCTCAGAAATTAATTCAGATTATAATAATCTGATGATCAGATCATGAAAGATATCTGATCAGATTATAATAATCTGTTAAAATTATAATATATTGATTTGATTTTAACAATCTATTGATAAGATTGTAATAATTGCTGATTTGATTATAATAATCTGTTGATGAGATTATAATAATCTGATTTGATTATAATAATCTGTTGATTTGATTTTAATAATCTGATTTGATTAAAACAATATGTTGATGAGATTATAAGAGATTTTAATAATCTGCTGGTTTGATTGTAATAATCTGTTGATTTGATTATAATAATTTGTTGATTTGATTATAATAATCTGTTGATTTGATTATAATAATCTGTTGATTTGATTATAATAATTTGTTGATTTGATTATAATAATCTGTTGATTTGATTATAATAATCTGTTGATTTGATTATATGTTGATGAGATTAAAATAATCAGTTTATTTGATTATAATAATCAGTTGATTTGATTATAATAATCTGTTGATTTGATTAAAACAATATGTAGATGAGATTATGAGATTTTAATAATCTGTTGATTTGATTATAATATGTTGATGAGATTA